TGCCCTGTTTTAAAAAGACCATTCTTCCGGTGCCCTGAAACTCCATATTGCCGTCTCAAAACCAAAGCTCACATCAGAATATTCATTACAAACCTTGATAATAAGGGAAATGTGAAAAAGTCAAATAAATGCAAGAGTCCTTTGTGATATTTGGCTGGATTTAGACACAAGGAAACTGGCTGTTTCCAGATTCATCAACCCCTTCCACAGACTGACTTTGGAATTCTGATGGAATTCACCTCAAAATCGCACTCACACTCAATTGGAAGGTAATTAGAATCTGTCCCCTCAGCAGAAGTGTTCCAAGTCATTATCCAAAACACAGAAACTCATCTTGGTCTTGTTCCCTGTAGCTTTTGAATCCTGAAAGGGCTTTTTGCCGTATTTTCTTTTTTTTCATAATAGCTACTCTGTCCAAAATCTTGCTTGTATTGCATCAGAATACAAAATTTGGGAATAACAAGGCAAAACCAACTCAGACCCAGAAAACATTTAGTAAATTACCACTCAAGTAACCACAAATCGGCTGAAGCACCCAAAACAATGACAGCAAGCCAGAATTGGAGCAAGCCAACAGCTGTGCCCTGATTGAAAAAGAACCATCCTCTTGTGCCCTGAACTCAATATGCCAACCTCAAAAACAAAGCGCACATCAGAAAATTCATTACAAACCATCATACATAACAAAAATGAGAAAAAAGCCAAAGAAATGCAAGAATCCATAATGATATTGGGATTGATTTAGTTGTAAGGAATCCGGCTATTCCTGGATTCGTCCACCCCTCGAGGTGACTGCCTGTGCAATTCTCACTGAATTAACCTGAAAATCACAGGGAAACTCAGTTTGGAGGCAATTAATATATGTCACCTGAGCCAAAGTGTTCCATTTTATTTTCCAAAACACAAAAACTCACCTTGGTCGTGTTACCTGTAGATTTCTAAGCTTCAAACGCCTATTTGTTGTGTTTTTTATTTCATAATGGCTACTCTGTCCAAACTCTTGTTTGTATTGAGTCAGAATAAAAAATTTGGGAATAAGAAGAAAAAACCGTGTCAGACCCAGAAAACATTTAGGAAATTGCCACTCAAGAAACCTCAAATTTGCTGAGGCACCCAAAACAATGACAGCAAGCCACAATTAGAGCAAGCCAACAGCTGTGCCCTGATTGAAAAAGAACATTTCTCTTGTGCCCGGAAGTTCTTATTGCAGCCTCAAATCCAAAGCTCACATCAAAAATTCATTACCAACCATGATAAATAAGAAAAAAGAGAAAAAAGCCAAAGAAATGCAAGAATCCATAATGATATTGGGCTTGATTTAGTCGTAAGAAATCTGGCTAGTCCTGGATTCATCCACCCCTCCAGGTGACTGCCTGTGCAATTCTCACTGAATTAACCTGAAAATCACAGTGAAACTCAGTTTGGAGGCAATTAATATCTGTCACCTCAGCCAAAGTGTTCCATTTGATTTTCCAAAACACAAAAACTCACCTTGGTCGTGTTACCTGTAGATTTCTAAGCTTCAAACGCCTATGTGTTGTGTTTTTTATTTCATAATGGCTACTCTGTCCAAACTCTAGTTTATATTGCGTCAGAATACAAAATTTGGGAAGGAAGAAGGCAAAACCAACTCCGACCAAGAAAACATTTAGGAAATTGCCGCTCAAGAAACCAAAAGTCAGCTGAGGCACCCAAAACAAGGACAGCAAGCCAGAATTGGAGCAAGCCAACAGCTGTGCCCTGATTGAAAAAGAACCTTCCTCTTGTGCCCTGAACTCAATATGCCAGCCTCAAAACCAAAGCTCACATCAGAAAATTCATTACAAACCATGATAAATAAGAAAAATGAGAAAAAAGCCAAAGAAATGCAGGAGTTCTTAGTGATATTGGGCTTCATGTATTCCCATGTAAACTGCTGTTTCCAGATTCTTCCACACCTCCCAGCTGAGTGAATGTGTATTCTGACTGAATTAACCTGGAAATCGCAGTGAAACTCACTTTGGAGGGAATTAGAAATTGTCCCCTCAGCAGAAGTGTTCCATGACACTTTCTAAAACACAAAAACTCACCTTGGTCGTGTTACCTATCGATTTCTAAGCTTCAAACGCGTAATGTTGTGTTTTTAATTTCATAATGGCTACTCTGTCCAAACTCTTGTTTGTATTGCGTCAGAATAGAAAATTTGGGAAGGAAGAAGGCAAAACCAACTCAGACCCAGAAAACCTTCAGAAAATGTGGATCAAAAAACAACAACGCTGAGGCACCCAAAACCTTTAAAGCAAGACAGAATTGTAGCAAACCAATAGCTGTGCCCTGATTGAAAAAGAACCTTCCTCTTGTGCCCTGAACCCAATATGCCAGCCTCATACCAAAGCTCACATCAGAAAATTCATTACAAACCATGATAAAAAGAAAAATGAGAAAATAGCCAAGGAAATGCAAGAATCCATAATGATATTGGGCTTGATTCAGTCACAACGAAACCGGCTGTTCCCAGATCCATCCACCCTTCCAGCTGACTGCCTGTGGACTTCTGAATGAATTAACCTGAAAATCACAGTGAAACTCAGTTTGGAGACTATTAATATCTGTCACCTCAGCCAAAGTGTTCCATTTTATTTTCCAAAACACAAAAACTCACCTTAGTCGTGTTACCTGTAGATTTCTAAGCTTCAAACGCCTATTTGTTGTGCTTTTAATTTCATAATGGCTACTCTGTCTAAACTCTTGTTTATATTTCTTCAGAATACAAAATTTGGGAAGGAAGAAGGCAAAACCAACTCAGAACCAGTAAACATTTAGGAAATTGCCACTGAGGAAACGACAAATTGGCTGAGGCACCCAAACCAATGACAGCAAGCCAGAATTGGAGCAAGGCAACAGCTGTGCCCTGATTAAAAAAGACCATTCCTCAGGTTCCCTGAACTCCATATTGCAGCCTCAAAACCAAAGAACACATCAGCAAATTCATTACAAACCATGATAAATAAGAAAAATGAGAAAATAGACAAAGACATGCAAGAATCCATAATGATATTGGGCTAGATTTAGTCGCAAGGAAACCGGCTGTTCCCGGATTCATCCACCCCTCCAGCTGACTGCCTGTGGAATTCTCACTGAATTCACCTGAAAATCACAGTGAAACTCAGTTTGGAGGCAATTAATATCTGTCACCTCAGCCAAAGTCTTCCATTTCATTTTCCAAAACACAAAACCTCACCTTGGTTGAGTTACCTGTAGATTTCTAAGCTTCCAACGCCTATTTGTTGTGTTTTTTATTTCATAATGGCTACTCTGCCCAAACTCTTGTTTGTATGGCGTCAGAATACAAAATTTGGGAAGAAGGCAAAACCAACTCAGACCCAGAAAACATTTAGGAAATTGCCGCTCAAGTAACCAAAAGTCAGCTGAGGCACCCAAAACAAGGACAGCAAGCCAGAATTGGAGCAAGCCAACAGCTGTGCCCTGATTGAAAAAGAACCTTCCTCTTGTGCCCTGAACTCAATATGCCAGCCTCAAAACTAAAGCTCACATCAGAAATTTCATTACAAACCATGATAAATAAGGGAAATGTGAAAAAGCCAAAGAAATGCAAGAGTCCTTTGTGATATTTGGCTGGATTTAGACAGAAGGAAACTGGCTGTTTAAAGATTCATCCCCCCCTTCCACAGACTGAGTTTGGAATTCTGACTCAATTCACCTCAAAATCGCACTCACACTCAATTTGGAGGGAATTACTATCTGTCCCCTCAGCAGAAGTGTTCCATGTCATTTTCCAAAACACAGAAACTCATCTTGCTCATGTTGCCTGTAGATTTCTAATCCTGAAAGGGTAATTTGGTGTTTTTTTTTTTTCTTTCATAATGGCTACTCTGTCCAAAATCTTGCTTGTATTGCATCAGAATACAAAATTAGGGAATAAGAAGGCAAAACCAACTCAGACCCAGAAAACATTTAGGAAATTACCACTCAAGAATCCACAAATTGGCTGAGGGACACAAAAAAATGACAGCTAGCCAGAATTGGAGCAAGCCGAACAGCTGAGCCCTGTTTGAAAAAGACCATTCCTCTGGTGCCCTGAACTCAATATGCCAGCCTCAAAACCAAAGATCACACAAGAAAATTCATTACAAACCATGATGAATAAGAAAAATGAGAAAAAAGCCGAAGAAATGCAAGAATCCATAATGATATTGGGCTTGATTTAGTCTCAAGGAAACCGGCTGTTCCCGGATTCATCCAACCCTAAAGCTGACTGCCTGTAGACTTCTGACTAAATTAACCTGAAATTCGCAGTGAAACTCAGTTTGGAGGCAATATATAACTGTCACCTCAGCCAAAGTGTTCCATTTTATTTTCCAAAACACAAAAACTCACCTTGTTCGTGTTACCTGTAGATTTATAAGCTTCAAATGCCTATGTGTTGTGTTTCTTATTTCATAATGGCTACTCTGTCCAAACTCTTGTTTGTATTGCGTCAGAATACAAAATTTGGGGAGGAAGAAGGCAAAACCAACTCAGACCCAGAAAACATTTAGGAAATTGCTGCTCAAGAAACCTCAAATCGGCTGGGGCACCTAAACCAATGACAGCAAGCCAGAATTGGAGCAAGCCAACAGCTGTGCCCTGATTGAAAAAGAACCATTCTCTTGTGCACTGAACTCCATATTGCAGCCTCAAAACCAAAGCTCACATCAGAAAATTCATTATTCTGTCCAAACTCTTGTTTGTATTGAGTCAGAATACAAAATTTGGGAAGGAAGAAGGCAAAACCAACTCAGACCCAGAAAACATTTAGAAAATTGCCTCTCAAGAAACCAAACACCGCTGAGGCACCCAAAAACTTAAAACAAGACAGAATTGGAACAAGCCAACAGCTGTGCCCTGATTGAAAAAGAACCTTCCTCTTGTGCCCTGAACTCAATATGCCAGACTCAAAACCAAAGCTCACATCAGAAAATTCATTACAAAGCATGATAAATAAGAAAAAGAGAAAAAAGGCCAAAGAAATGCAGGAGTTCTTAGTAATATTGGGCTTGATTTATTGCCATGTAAACGGCTGTTTCCAGATTCATCCACACCTCCCAGCTGAATGTCTGTGGTTTCTGACTGAATTAACCTGAAAATCGCAGTGAAACTCAGTTTGGAGGCAATTAATATCTGTCACCTCAGCCAAAGTGTTCCATTTTATCTTCCAAAACTCAAAAACTCACCTTAGTCTTCTTACCTGTAGATTTCAAAACTTCAAATGCCTATTTGTTTTGTTTTTTATTTCATAATGGCTACTCTGCCCAAGCTCTTGTTTGTATTGCGTCAGAATACAAAATTTGGCAAGGAAGAAGGTAAAACCGACTCAGACCCAGAAAACATTTAGGAAATTGCCACTCAAGAATCCAAAAGTCAGCGGAGGAACCTACAACAATGACAGCAAGCCAGAATTGGAGCAAGCCAACAGCTGTGCCCTGATTGAAAAAGAACCTTCCTCTTGTGCCCTGAGCTCAATATAGCAGATTCAAAACCAAAGCTCACATCAGAAAATTCATTACAAACCATTATAAATCAGAAAAATGAGAAAAAAGCCAAAGAAATGCAGGAGTTCTTAGTAATATTGGGCTTGATTTATTGCCATGTAAACGGCTGTTTCCAGATTCATCCACACCTCCCAGCTGAGTGTCTGTGGTTTCTGACTGAATTAACCTGAAAATCGCAGTGAAACTCGGTTTGGAGGCAATTAATATCTGTCACCTCAGCCAAAGTGTTCCATTTTATTTTCCAAAACTCAAAAACTCACCTTAGTATTCTTACCTGTAGATTTCTAAGCTTCAAATGCCTATTTGTTTTCTTTTTTATTTCATCATTGCTAGTCTGTCCAAACTCTTGTTTGTATTGCGTCAGAATACAAAATTTGGGATTAAGAAGGAAAAACCGTGTCAGACCCAGAAAACATTTAGGAAATTGCCACTCAAGAAACCAAAAGTCAGCTGAGGAACCCACAACAATTACAGCAAGCCAGAATTGGAGAAAGCCAACAGCTGTGCCCTGATTGAAAGAGAACCTTCCTCTTGTGCCCTGAACTCAATATGCCAGCCTCAAAAGCAAAGCTCACATCAGAAAATTCATTACAAACCATGATAAATAAGAAAAATGAGAAAAAAGCCAAAGAAATGCAGGAGTTCTTAGGGATATTGGGCTTGAATTATGGCCATGTAAACGGCTGTTTCCAGATTCATCCACACCTCCCAACTGAGTGTCTTTGGTTTCTGAATGAATTAACAAAAAAATCGCAGTGAAACTCGGTTTTGGAGGCAATTAATATCTGTCACCTCAGCCAGAGTGTTCAATTTTATTTTCATAAACACAAAAACTTACCTTGCTCGTGTTACCTCTACATATATAAGCTTCAAACGCATATTTGTTGTGCTTTTTATTTCATAATGGCTACTCTGTCCAAACTCTTGTTTGTATTACGTCAGAATAGAAAATTTGGAAAGGAAGAAGGCAAAACCAACTCAGACCCAGAAAACATGTAGGAAATTGCCGCTAAAGAAACCAAAAACAGCTGAGGCACGCAAAACAATGACAGCAAGCCAGAATTGCAACAAGCCAACAGCTGTGTCCTGTTTGAAAAAGACCATTGATCCGGTGCCCTGAACTCAATATGCCAGCCTCAAAACCAAAGCTCACATCAGAAAATTCATTACAAACCATGATAAATCAGAAAAATGAGACAAAAGCCAAAGAAATGCACGAGTTCTTAGTGATATTTGGCTGGATTTAGACACAAGGAAACTGGCTGTTTAAAGATTCATCCCCCCTTCCACTGACTGACTTTGGAATTCTGATTGATTTCACCTCAAAATTGCACTCACACTCAATTTGGAGGGAATTAGAATCTGTCCCCTCAGCAGAAGGGTTCCATGTCATTTTCCAAAACACAGAAACTAATCTTGATCACGTTGCCAGTAGATTTCTAATCCTGAAAGGGCAATTTCTGTGTTATTTTTTTTTTCTTTCATAATGGCTACTCTGTCCAAATCTTGCTTGTATTGCATCAGAATACAAAATATGGGAATAAGAAGGCAAAACCGACTCAGACCCAGAAAACATTAAGGAAATTGCCGCTCAAGAAACCACAAATCGGCTGAGGTTCCCAAAACAATGACAGCAAGCCAGAATTGGAGCAAGCCAACAGCTGTGCCCTGATTGAAAAAGAACCTTCCTCTTGTGCCCTGAACTCAATATGCCAGCCTCAAAACCAAAGCTCACATCAGAAAATTCATTACAAATCATCATAAATAAGAAAAAAGAGAAAAAAGCCAAAGAAATGCAAGAATCCATAATCATAGTGGCTTGAATTAGTTGCAAGGAAACCGGCTGTTCCCGGATTCATCCACCCCTCCAGCTGACTGCCTGTGGAATTCTGACTGAATTAACCTGAAAATCGCAGTAAGACTCGGTTTGGAGGCAATAATATCAGTCACCTCAGCCAAAGTGTTCCATTTGATTTTCCAAATCACAAAAACTCACCTTGGTCGTGTTACCCTTAGATTCATAAGCTTCAAACGCTAATTTGTTTTTTTTTTTTTTTATTTCATGATGGCTACTCTGTCCAAACTCTTGTTTGTATTGCGTCAGAATACAAAATGTGGGAAGGAAAAGGGAAAACCAACTCAGACCCAGAAAACATTTAGGAAATTGCCGCTCAAGAAACCACAAATCGGCTGAGGCACCCAAAACCTTGAAAGCAAGACAGAATTGGAGCAAGCCAACAGCTGTGCCCTGATTGAACAAGACCATTAATCCAGTGCCCTGAACTCCATATTCCATCCTCAAAACCAAAGCTCACATCAGAAAATTCATTACAAACCATGATAAATAAGGGAAATCTGAGAAAGCCAAAGAAATTCAAGAGTCCTTTTTGGTATTTGGCTGGATTTAGACAGAAGGAAACTGGCTGTTTCCGGATTCATCCCCCCCTTCCACAGACAGACTTTGGAATTCTGATTGAATTCACCTCAAAATCGCACTCACACTCAATTTGGAGGGAATTAGAATCTGTCCCCTCAGCAGAAGGGTTCCATGTCATTTTCCAAAACACAGAAACTCATCTTGGTCACGTTGCCTAGTAGATTTCTAATCCTGAAAGGGCAATTTGCTGTGTTTTTTTTTTTTTTCTTTCATAATGGCTACTCTGTCCAAATCTTGCTTATGTTGCATCAGAATACAAAATTTGGGAATAAGAAGGCAAATCCGACTCAGACCTAGAAAACATTTAGGAAACTGCAACACAAGAATCCACAAATCAGCTGAGGCACCCAAAACAATGACAGCAAGCAGAATTGCAGCAAGACAACAGCTGTGCCCTGATTGAAAAAGAACCTTCCTCTTGTGCCCTGAACTCAATATGCCAGCCTCAAAACCAAAGCTCACATCAGAAAATTCATTACAAACAATGATAAATAAGAAAAATCAGAAAAAAAGCCAAAGAAATGCAAGAATCCATAATGTTATTGGGCTTGATTTAGTCGCAAGGAAGCCAGCAGTTCCCGGATTCATCCACGCCTAAAGCTGACTGCCTGTGTAATTCTCACAGAATGAACCCGAAAATCGCAGTGAAACTCCGTTTGGAGGCAATTAATATCTGTCACCTCAGCCAAAGTGTTCCATTTGATTTTCCAAAACAAAAAAACTCACTTTGGTCGTGTTACCTGCAGATTCAAAATCTTGAAACGCCTATTTGTTGTGTTGTTTATTTCATAATGGCTACTCTGTACAAACTCTTCTTTGCATTGTATCAGAATACTAAATTGGGGAAGGAAGAAGGCAAAACCAACTCAGACCCAGAAAACATTTAGGAAATTGCCGCTCAAGAAACCCAAAATCAGCTGAGGCACGCAAAACAATGACAGCAAGCCAGAATTGGCAACAAGCCAACAGCTGTGTCCCTGATTTGAAAAAGACCATTGATCCGGTGCCCTGAACTCAATATGCCAGCCTCAAAACCAAAGCTCACATCAGAAAATTCATTACAAACCATGATAAATCAGAAAAATGAGACAAAAGCCAAAGAAATGCACGAGTTCTTAGTGATATTTGGCTGGATTTAGACACAAGGAAACTGGCTGTTTAAAGATTCATCCCCCCTTCCACTGACTGACTTTGGAATTCTGATTGATTTCACCTCAAAATCGCACTCACACTCAATTTGCAGGGAATTACTATCTGTCCCCTCAGCAGAAGGGTTCCATGTCATTTTCCAAAACACAGAAACTAATGTTGATCATGTTGCCAGTAGATTTCTAATCCTGAAAGGGCAATTTCTGTGTTTTTTTTTTTTCTTTCATAATGGCTACTCTGTCCAAATCTTGCTTGTATTGCATCAGAATACAAAATATGGGAATAAGAAGGCAAAACCGACTCAGACCCAGAAAACATTTAGGAAATTGCCGCTCAAGAAACCACAAATCGGCTGAGGCACCCAAAACAATGACAGCAAGCCAGAATTGGAGCAAGCCAACAGCTGTGCCCTGATTGAAAAAAGAACCTTCCTCTTGTGCCCTGAATTCAATATGCCAGCCTCAAAACCAAAGCTCACATCAGAAAATTCATTACAAACCATGATAAATAAGAAAAAAGAGAAAAAAAGCAAAAGAAATGCAAGAATCCTTAATGATATTGGGCTTGATTTAGTCGCAAGGACACCGGCTGTCCCAGATTCATCCAACCTCCAGCTGTCTGCCTGTGGAATTCTGACTAGAATTACCCCTGAAATCGCAGTGAAACTCAGTTTGGAGTCAATTAATATCTGTGACCTCAGCCAAAGTGTCAACATTTTTTTTTCCAAAACACAAAAACTCACCTTGGTCATGTACCTGTAGATTTTTAAGCTTCAATGCCCATTTGTTGTGTTTTGTATTTCATAATCGGTACTCTGCCCCAAACTCATGTTGGTATGGCGTCAGAATACAAAATTTGGGAAGGAGGAAGGCAAAACCAAATCAGACCAAGAAAACATTTAGGAAATTGGCCGCTCAACAAACCAAAATTGAGCTGAGGCACCCAAAACAATGACAGCAAGCCAGAATTGGAGCACGCCAACAGCTGTGCCCTGATTGAAAAAGAACCTTCCTCTTGTGCCCTAAACTCAATATGCCAGCCACAAAACCAAAGCTCACATCAGAAAATTCATTTCAAACCATGATAAATAGGAAAAATCTGAAAAAAAGCCAAAGAAATGCAAGTTTTCTTAGTGATATTGGGCTTGATTTATTCCTAAGTAAACAGCTGTTTCCAGATTCATCCACAACTCCCAGCTGAGTGAATAGGGATTCTGACTGAATTCACCTCAAAATGGCAGTGAAATTCGGTTTGGAGACAATTAATATCTGTCACCTCAGCCAAAGTGTTCCATTTATTTTCCAAAACAAAAAAACTCACTTTGGTCATGTTTCCTATAGATTTCAAAGCGTCAAACGCCTATTTGTTGTGTTTTTTATTTCATAATGGCTACTCTGTCCAAAATCTTGCTTGTATTGCATCAACATACAAAATTTCGGAAGGTAGAAGGCAAAGCCAACTCAGACCCAGAAAACATTTAGGAAATTGCCACTCAAGAAACCAAAAGTCAGCTGAGGCTCCCAAAACCATGACAGGAAGCCAGAATTGGAGCAGGCAATCAGCTGAGTCCTGATTGAAAAAGGCCATTCTTCCGGTACCCTGAACTCCATATTCCAGCCTCAAAACCAAAGCTCACATCAGGAAATTCATTACAAACCACGATACATAAGAAAAATGAGAAAAAAGCCAAGAAATGCAAGAAACCATAATGATATTGAGCTGGATTTAGTTGCAAGGAAACCGGCTGTTCCCGGATTCATCCAACACTCCAGCTGACTGCCTGTGGAATTCTGACTGAATTAACCTGAAAATTGCAGTGAAACTCAGTTTGGAGGCAATTAATATCTGTCACCTCAGCCAAAGTGTTCCATTTTATTTTCCAAAACACAAAAACTCACCTTGGTCTTGTTACCTGTAGATTTCTAAGCTTCAAATGCCTATTTGTTGTGTTGTTTATTTCAAAATGGCTACTCTGTCCAAACTCTTCTTTGCATTGCATCAGAATACAAAATTTGGGAATAAGAAGGCAAATCCAACTCAGACACAGAAAACATATATGAAATTGCCACTCAAGAAACCACGAATCTTCTGAGGCATCCAAAACAATGACAGCAAGCCGGAATTGGAGCAAATCAACAACTGTGCCCTGATTGAAACAGAACCATCCTCTTGTGCCCTGAAGTCAATATGCCAGCCTCAAAACCAAAGCTCACATCAGAAAATGCATTACAAACCATTACAAATAAGAAAAATGAGAAAAAAGCCAAAGAAATGCAAGAATCCATAATGATATTGGACTTGATTTAGTCGCAAGGAAACGGATGTTCCTGCATTCATCCACCCCTACAGCTGACTGCCTGTGGAATTCTGACTCAATTAACCTGAAAAATGCAGTGAAACTCAGTTTGAAGGCAATTAATATCTGTCACCTCAGCCAAAGTGTTCCATTTGATTTTTCAAAACTCAAAAACTCACCTTGGTCATGATACCTGTAGAATCATAACCTTCAAACGCCTATTTGTTGTGTTTTTTATTTCATAATCGGTACTCTGTCTGAACACATGTTTCTATTGCGTCACAATACAAAATTTGGGAAGGAAGAAGGCAAAAACCTCTCAGACACAGAAAACATTTAGGAAATTGCCGATCAAGAAAAAAAAATTCAGCTAAGGCACCCAAAACAATGACAGCAAGGCAGAATTGGAGCAAGTCAACAGCTGTGCCCTTTTTGAAAAATAACCTTCCTCTTGTGCCCTGAACTCCAAATTGCAGCCTCAAAACCAAAGCTCACATCAGAAAATTCATTGCAAACCATGATAAATAAGAAAAATGAGAAAAAAGACAAGGAAATGCTAGAATCCATAATGATATTGGGCTTGATTTAGTCGCAAGGAAATTGGCTGTTCCCAGATTCATCCACCCCTCCAGCTGACTGCCTGTGGAATTCTGACTGAATTAACCTGAAAATCGCAGTGAAACTCAGTTTGGAGGCCATTAATACCTGTCACCTCAGCCAAAGTGTTCCATTTTATTTGCCAAAACACAAAACCTCATCTTGTCCTGTTACCTGTAGATTTCTGAGCTTCAAACGCCTATTTGTAGTGTTTTTTATTTCATAATGGCTACTCTGCCCAAACTCTTGTTTGTATTGCGTCAGAATACAAAATTTGGGAAGGAAGAAGGCAAAACCAACTCAGACCCAGAAAACATTTAGGAAATTGCCGCTCAAGAAACCACAAATCGGCTGAGGCACTCAAAACAATGACAGCAAGCCAAAATTGGAGCAGGCCAACAGCTGTGCCCTGTTTGAAAAAGACTATTCCTCCGGTGCCCTGAACTCCATATTGCAGCCTCAAAACCAAAGCTCACATCAGAAAATTCATTACAAACCATGATAAATAAGAAAAAGGAGAAAAAAGCCAAAGAAATGCAAGAATCCATAATGATATTGGGCTTGGTTCAGTTGCAAGGAAACCGGCTGTTCCTGGATTCATCCACCCCTCCAGCTGACTGCCTGTGGAATTGTGACTGAATTAACCTGAAAATCGCAGTGAAACTCCGTTTGGAGGAATTAAATAACTGTCACCTCAGCCAAAGTGTTCCATTTGATTTTCCAAAACACAAAAACTCCCCTTGGTCGTGTTACCTGTAGATTTCTAAGCTTCAAAATCCTATTTGTTGTGTTTTTTATTTCATAATAGCTACTCTGCCCAAACTCTTGTTTGTATTGTGTCAGAATACAACATTTGGGAAGGAAGAAGGCAAAACCAACTCAGACCCAGAAAACATTTTGGAAATTGCCGCTCAAGAAACCACTAATCGGCTGAGGCACTCAATACAATGACAGCAAGCCAGAATTGGAGCAGGCCAACAGCTGTGCCATGTTTGAAAAAGGACCATTGCCCCGGTGCCTGAACTCCATATTGCAGCCTCAAAACCAAAGCTGACATCAGAAAATGCATTACAA